TAAATTATTAAATATATAGTCTTTCTCTAGTCAGGGTTGTTTTTCATTTCTTCGGGGAGTGGTTTCCCAAACCTTTTTGTTTACGGCTATTGTAAATATTTAAAACTTGTCTCATCTTTGCCATGGAGAAGTGTCTATATTTGTCGTCATATGACATTTCATTTGCTTCACCACCTTGTGGTTGGTTTAAGTCTCTTAACATTTTTATACAACCGTCAATGACACCAAGAGCAGAATGGTTTTGGTCGACAATGAAATATTGGTTTACATTTTTTGAACGCAGATAGTTTTTTACATCATCTGATTTGAAAGAACTTTCACAGTCAGATGTCAGTTTTTTGGATGGTATTTGTCAACGAATATTGTCAAAGCAGTTTTCACATCTAAAATATTTTTGGACCATAATGGTATGGCTTCACAGTATCTTGTGTTTTGACCGACAAATATTAGCCAGTATGGTGGTCCATCTGTTCTAACTCTCGAATGTTTTCCAAGATATCCATAAACCAAGCATTTGGTGTTGAACTAAAGATTTTTATCATGAGTGCTTTCTTTGTCGCTTTAGAAACATAGGGGTCCTTGTTTGGATTCGTCATTTTTTATCCTATAAGAAATGGGTTTATTTGGCGCATTAGCAGGAGTTGCATCCAGATTTTTGCCCGCAGTGGGAACAATAGCCAGAGGTGTATTTGGAGTTGGAAGGAAGATTTTGAGTACATTAGGTATACTTAAAGAGAAAGCACAACCTATTATACAAACTGTACAGAAAGGTTGGATGTAGCACGAGATGCAACAAATCTTATTCCAAATCCTGAAACAAGAGGAAAAGTTCAAGGATGGATGGACAATGTAGGAAGACAAGCAGGAAACTATTATAACAAAGCAAATGACTACTATAACCAAGCAGGACACTATATGGACCAAGGTGAAAGATTCTTTAACAGAGGATATAACCATGCACAACAATGGGTAAACAATAACCAACCTCAACCGCCTCAAACGTGGGGAATGTAAAGTTTTTTACTGAGATGAAATGAACAATACAGCATTGAGACAAATGGGTTCAAGATGGATTTGTCGGCTTCCAGCAGTTACACAACGTGTTTGTCAAGTTCTTCCTATACCTCAGGAAGTTTTAGACCGACTTAAAAAACCTAAACAACCAGTTGAAAACAAACCAAACTAAAATTTTTTACTGAGATGAAATGACCGAAGAAGTTGAAACGGTAGATTTGACACCACAAACAAAAAGTTCAGAACCATTGTCAAAAACTGTCAAAGAACTTACAGATGAAGAGAAAAAATTCAATAATAGAAAGTGCCAGGTCTGGAATACAAACCCTAACTACAAAGTCACTTTTCATAAAAAATGGAACGGCAAGTATCTCAAAAAAGAAACAGACTCTCACAAATAAAATATTGAAGTCTGAAGGAGCTTTCGAGACAACAGATGGAAAAGTTTACTTCACTGACCAACAGTTCATTATAGAACATCTCATTGACTTAGAGTCGAAATATTCTAAACTTTACAACAAACACAAAAAGTTGAAAGGAAAACAAAAACAAATGGCATTGATATTTATGAAGATGTTGACGACACACTGTTCCTGCAAGTGAGGTAAAGTCAGAGGAACCGAAAAGTGACGAAAAACCGATAGAAGAAGAAAAACCAAAAACTGAAGATAAACCAAAACCAAAGTTTAGTTTCCAAACTAAACCAAGTCAACCTTCATTAGCTGGTATGGGTTGGCGTCAAAGACTTATGGCAGCAGGCGGTTATGTAAAGTAAAGAAAAAAATATTTTTTATTTTTATAAAAATGCCCCCATATAGAATGGATAGAAAATCTGCTAGAATAAAAGCAGAGTTACAAAATATGGTTGGAGAGTTTCGAAGAATTTTAAAATATAGGAAGGGAAGACCCATAAAAGTCTATGACAAATTGTCTGGTCTTCGCTACGAAATGGATTTGGAACAGCACGTGCCAATTATCCAAACAGACTAGAGAGGTTAGAAGAAGAACGTCTTATGGACATGCCTTTCGATGTGTTAAACATTGCATGAAGTAAAAAATTTATTTTAAAAAAGTGACATTTTTTAAATTTTATTTGAAATGTACGCTGAGTTTGTTGGAGAAGACCGTTGGGAAACTTGTTTGTTAGATGAGAAATATGAAATGGCATACCATTTTAAAACAATATATTTTTACATATATTAAATGCTTCAGGTTGAAAAACAAAGAACAAAAGTAGCAGATACAAAACCGTTAGACTATATCTTTACAAATGCTGGTAGGACTATTTCAGATGAAGAAATTTCATCCCGAGTATACAGGTTTGACTATCCAATTCGTTGGCTTCAAAGTCCTTCAGATGCAAAGGCAATAGGATTTAGAAGAGTTTTGTTTTCAAATAGAACTAACGCATTTATGTTCGCAGTATATTTTCATGGGCAGTATAAAGGTTCTGATGGTCTAATAGACAAATTTGACGAAATGAGAATCTTTACAGTTCGTTCAGACGAAAGTCTTGAGAAAACTCTAAATGACTTTCAAACTCAAATGAACAAATATTATTGGGAATTTCAAGAAAATACGACTCTTTACTAAATGGAACATACTATCTGAAACTAGAATATGACAAGATGAACTCCACCGTTTCATTTCAAAAGATTGAAATTAACCCCCAAGAGATACAGAGTTTTTATTTTGGGAAGTAGACAAACGTTCTTGGGCACAATTTCTTCGGTTACTAAACCAGAACGAACCATTACCAGATTGGTCCATTTCAATTTATACTTCCACCAGCAGATTTGACAGTTTATAGAAACGTGTTTGACCTCAAAATGTTATGTGTCATGCAAGTTTCAGTTCAAGCAACATAGTTTCTATGTATTGGTAAGGACTTTTATGACTTTGCTTCTAAATTCTACGAACCACCTAGTAACAGTTTCTCTGACTTTCAAGTTTGGTTCACAACAAATGGTGTGCAACATATTATTCCATTGTACTATGACTTTTATCTCGAATTGTCTTTCATATATAACTACGGAAAAGTGCTGAAAAAGTATTGAATGTGAAGATATTAGAAAATAACATTTTTTCTAATATCGTAGAAAACTCATGAAAACAATTTATTTTTGACACTTTCACAAAAAACATAAAAAAGTGAAGTTAAAATGAGATGTTTACTGAACTGGTTGGATGTCGCCTTCACAGGTTATGTAGAACGGTTGTCCTGAGAAGTGGAACAGTGCTCTGAGAATTTGTATAATTCGTGGAATTGGACTCTCTCTGTTTGGAAGTAGTATCCAAGGACGCTTGGCAAAGAACTTTATAATGGCTTCCTTCTTTGCTTGCTTTATGTCGTCGTAGGCTGTCCCGTCTGGTATTTGAATTGGAATTTCGGTCGAAGTCTCGAGATTCAAGACAGCCTTTCCAGAAATAGTGGTGAACTTGACCTTGGGCTTCATGACCTTGCGCAAGTAGTCTTTTACGCAGTCGTTTATTTAAATTAGGTAAACTGCCTCGTCAAATCCTTCTGGCATTCCGAGTCCTTCCATCCGACAGAAAAAGTTTTTCCTTCCGACAGAAAAAGTTTTTCCTTCCGACAGAAAAAGTTTTTCCTTCCGACAGAAAAAGTTTTTCCTTCCGACAGAAAAAATTTTTCCTTCCGACAGAAAAAATTTTTCCAGTTGTCCGTCCGTAAACCATTCAAATTTTCGAAAATTGAGAACTTTTTGGTCGAACTTCAGAAAAAGTTTTTCCTTCCAACAGAAAAAGTTTTTCCTTCCGACAGAAAAAGTTTTTCCTTCCGACAGAAAAAGTTTTTCCTTCCAACAGGAAAAGTTCTTCCTTCTGACAGGACACAAACGAATGTCCCACGTCCCACCAACCCAGTCCATTCCCAAACCAGAGGAACCTAAAGAACCACAACAGTCTCCTCAGCAAGCTCAGTTCCAGCAAGTCCCTCCACCAAATTACTACCAATTTCCACCTCAAGGTTACTACCCACCACAAGGCTTCCCGAACTACCCTCCTCTGCCTATGCCTTACTTCCCCAACCCTTGGATGTTCCAGCAAGCTCCACCCCAGCAATTCCAATCTCAATCCAAATCGAAGAGAGACCAAGAGTTCGAAGAAGGTCTGAACCGCTTACGCAAAGAGTATGCCACAGCTCCAATTGAGAGAAAGTTGTTCCCGGACCAAAAATATAATTTATGTTAGAATGTTAGATCTAACACGTTTTCTAACCTCATGAATTTTCATGAATTTCCTTAAGATAGAAAAAATATAATTTAGTTTTATTTTTTTATTTTGTATGTAAAGATATGATTTCAGGGATTTTTTTGACGAAGTGTCAACCTTCACTTCGTCAAAAAATAACAGTTATCTAATGAAAAAGTTAGTTTTATTTTTTTATTTTGTATGTAAAGATATGATTTCAGGGATTTTTTTGACGAAGTGTCAACCTTCACTTCGTCAAAAAATAACAGTTATCTAATGAAAAAGTTAGTTTTATTTTGTATTTTTTTGTATGTAAGATATGATTTCAGGGATTTTTTTGACGAAGTGTCAACCTTCACTTCGTCAAAAAATAACAGTTATCTAATGAAAAAGTTAGTTTTATTTTGTATTTTTTTGTATGTAAGATATGATTTCAGGGATTTTTTTGACGAAGTGTCAACCTTCACTTCGTCAAAAAATAACAGTTATCTAATGAAAAAGTTAGTTTTATTTTGTATTTGACGAGAATGTCGGGTAAATGTTTTGTCATGACTTCTTCGTAAATGTTTTGTCAAGACTTCTTCGTATATGTTTTGTCATGACTTCTTCGTAATGAGTGTAAATGACCCAAAAATATATTTTAGGGTAGATGGTTAGATCTAACCTGTCTTCTACCCTCTTTTTTCACCTCTTGAATTTTCATGAATTTTCCCGAAATAAAAAATAAAGTTAGTTTTATTTTTTTTATTTTTTTTATTTTGTATAAAAAAATAAAAATGTCAACAATCGGCACAACAGCAATACAAACAACTACAGCACCAAACTCTTTAGTCATGAATCCTACGTCAATGTTAGTAGAGATGAAAAGCTTCATTCCTTCTTCATATACTTTTGAAACAGAAATCCAGAAGATAAAGCAAGAACTTTTAACATGTAATTTAGACTGTAGTGCGAAAGATGAAACAAATGAACAGTATCTTTATGAAATGGAGGACCTCATCGACCATTTACCCAAATTGCCTGAAATTCAGCAACAAAAACTAACTATTCCTGAATTCGATGAAATAGAAGTCAAAGCAACTGACTCGGTAGAAATAAAGAAGTTCATACGAAAGGTAAACTATGAGTTTCTAGGATTTCATTGCAACCATAAGGTTATGGACAAAGATTGCGACATGGTATATAAGAATGTTTCTGACATATATAAATCTGAAGAATTTAAGACCTACGACAACTTTGTTTCGTTAGTTGCTGAATGTGTATGGCAGATAAGAGATAAAGATAGAAGAGGCAAAGTATGGAATAAACAGATAAAACCAGCAACTTTTGAGTTAAAGAAAACCATTGACGCTTTAGTTGTTTTAGCAGGTAAGGTTTCAGAATATAACGCAAAAATGAACCCGCAATGTTCTAAATGTAAAGCAGCAATGAGGAAATATAACTACTCCGTCAAAGAGATAGAAAGAATGAGAAACGACTATGCAGATTTAAAGAAAGATATGTCAAACATTCAGTTTGAAACAGTTGGAAAGATAGACAATGACACCAAAGTGGTTAGAATAGGTGATTTAAACGTAAGATACTCAAAGAAATACAACAAATATTCTTTGTCAGACATTTTATCTCCATTTGGAAAGAAAACAAACCACTGGGTTATAAATGCTTCAACTCAGAAAATTTTGACAAGAAATCCTGAGCTTATGATATCGGTAAAATTCTATGGAACTGCAGCATATCTTATAGACAAAAGTCTTATACCAATAGTTTTGTTATGGTTAGACCCAGTTGTTGGATATAACTTCATAACATATGGTTCATTCAATACGGAACGTTGCAGTGAAGGCTTACTTTACATCGTTCAGAAACCGAAGGACTTCAATACAAAAAGATATAAGATAGGAAGAACATATAATATAACTCTAAGATATGACAGTTCAGTCAATAGAGTCAAGGTTGTGTTGGTTAATGATATGAGAGCTGCAGAAACAGAACTACTTGAAAAGTTTGAGAAAATGTATGGTGCTCCCATAAAAGGTAAAGAAACGTTTGAAGTAGATGAGATAGATAAAGCTATAAAATTATTTGACGAAGTTGCTGAAAAATACATGTAAAGCGTTTATTTTTGGTCTTTTGTGAAAGTCAGAAAATAAAGTTAGTGTCATTTTTTTTTGTATTTTTTTGTATGTAAGATATGATTTCAGGGATTTTTTTGACGAAGTGTCAATGTTCACTTCGTCAAAAAATAACAGTTATCTAATGAAAAAGTGTCATTTTTTTGTATTTTTTTGTATGTAAGATATGATTTCAGGGATTTTTTTGACGAAGTGTCAATGTTCACTTCGTCAAAAAATAACAGTTATCTAATGAAAAAGTGTCATTTTTTTTGTATTTTTTTGTATGTAAAGATATGATTTCAGGGATTTTTTTGACGAAGTGTCAATGTTCACTTCGTGTCATAATGTAAAAATAACGTTTACCATGTGAAACGTTTATGTTAGAAAAAATGTTATTTTCTAATATTCTAACATAAACATTATTTTTGAGGAAAAAAATGAAGGTTCTATACGGTTTCTAACCGTTAACAAGCCTTTTACATTCTGCCTGAGGAAGTCTTTAACAAGCTCGTTAATTTCAATTAGGTAAATTGCCTCGTCGGTAGGTTCGACTTCGACCATTGCTACTGACATTAGCAGTACTTTTACTGACAGTAGCAGTATTTTTACTGACAGTAGCAGTACTTTTACTGACAGTAGCAGTACTTTTACTGACAGTAGCAGTACTTTTACTGACAGTAGCAGTACTTTTACTGACAGTAGCAGTATTTTTACTGACAGTAGCAGTACTTTTACTGACAGTAGCAGTACTTTATCGTCGAAAACCCTCTCAAATTTTCCTTTTTACTGACAGTAGCAGTACTTTTACTGACAGTAGCAGTACTTTTACTGACAGTAGCAGTACTTTTACTGACAGTAGCAGTACTTTTACTGACAGTAGCAGAGATTTTTATCGTCCAACTTTACAAATGTAAACTTATATCGTTCTATTTTCTTCACTAGGGTCTAACACCAAAGTAACCTTACAAATGTAAACTTATATCGTTCTATTTTCTTCACTAGGGTTTAACACCAAAGTAACCTTACAAATGTAAACTTATATCATTCTATTTTCTTCACTAGGGTCTAACACCAAAGTAACCTATGTACATGAAATTTCACTGCATAAAAGGAAAAAAACCTGCGCGAATCGGGATTTGAACTGAGGTCTTCAACGCCTTTAACGAGGTAGCCCATACCACTGAGCTATGAGCCGCTTGCATATTTTTAAGTAAAATATAGTATATTTGTCATACCGTGAAGGATGACCAAACTTAAAAAAAATAAAGTTAGTTTTTTATAAAATATTTTTTTATCCGGAATATAAAGACAGATATGTCAACAACAGAGAACACAACAACTGCTATCGTTCATGAAGCCATAAATGAAGAATATGAGTACATACAGTTTAACAAACAACTCCGTCTCATTCGTTCGGTCAAAGACGATATGTACCAAATGCAAAGTATTTTGACAGCATGTTTTGCTCCAGATACTAAGAAACCACAAGACTGGTTTAGGAACCAAAGCACTATTGAACTATTAAATGAAGCTGAAAATTCGACTACGGATTTTTTCGTAGTCGCAAAAACTCGAGTAAGTAAAAAACCCCAGTCGCCAAAACTCTATGAAAATCGTGAAGAACAGCGAGACCGACTTTTTTCGGGGTCGCCAAAACTCTATGAAAATCGTGAAAAATTGCCAAACGGTTTGAGAGGATATTATGTACATAGACTTCTTGTAAATGCTGTTGCAATGTGGGCTTCGCCTCGTTATGCTTGGTATATTTACAGGCTTCTTGACGAAATTCATAGACAAGAACGTGAAGAGATGGAAAACAAGCTTGAAGCAAAAGACAAAAGCATTCAGAAAAGAATACCACGTTCGGTACCAAAAGGTAAGGAAAAGAACTATAAGTATATGATTTATACTGAAGAGATGGAAAATGAAGAAGATAAAGATATGGTTATGTTGCATTTAGTCAGAAGAAACAACAAAAGCTTTTACGACCTTGCTAAGATTTACAAATCTGACAGAAATTGGTTCTATCGCGAAAACTTACCAATTTCAATGACACCGAATGAAGATGTGAAACAAATAGTTCAAGATACGTTACCTCAAACACACTATGATATGAAAGGTTGTACAATACTTACATTCAAAGAAGATTTGTCATTGTTAAAGGAAAAAATAACAGAGTATTTTGACAACTTCAAACAAGTAGGGTAGATGAACTCTTTATTTTTCAAGCTTGACTTTTTACAATTTGAACTTTGTTTGCGTAGATATGAATTCTGAAAGAAGTATGAGGGTCTTGTATGACTTTGTACTTCTCCCATAGTTCATGTCTGTCAAACTTACCTGCCATGGACTCTTTCATAAGTTCCATGAAATCGTCTTCGGACAATCCGGGGAAAAGTACAATGTCAGTAAGTATTCTTTTAACATCCTTACTTAAACTCTTGGCTGTCTGTACACAAATGACAACTGAGATGTTAAAGTGTCTGAGCTTCTTAAGAATTCGACACATATCTTGTTCTCTATTCTTAAGCAAAGGATGAGAAGCAAAGTCATCTAAGATAAGAAGACACCTATGAGGGTATGTCTTCCAATCGTAAGATTGCAATTTCTTCGAAATGTATTCTATCTCTTTCTGTTTGTTTCTGAAGTGTTTCTTCTCTAATATTCTCTGCATTTCCTCATTTGGGTCTTTAAACTTCGAATTTATATACTCATTTATAGCATTATACTTCAAAACTCTTCTTTGGTACTTCTTTATCCAATCTAACAACTCAGTATCCTTTATACATACTAACTTAGACTTCTTTATAATATCTTTGAACGAATTGACGGTTTGGTCAAATTGACCAGAAGTACTACAAATGACAACTAACTCATAGAATGGGTTCTTCTCATCTAGTTCTTGTTGTTGTGCAGCCATTTTAAGATAAGTGAAAGTCTTACCCGACCCAGGTGGTGCAATTAGACCTGTTATACCATTCTGAGCAAATAAGAACTTGTCATGTATAGGTTTTATCTGAGCATTTTCTAACTTCCTCTTGTTCTTGTTTAAAACATTCTCAAATTTTTTGTCAATGTCAGCAAACTTTTTTTCTAACATATTTTTAGAAAAATTAAAATTTTTATCTTTTAGAAAATGTCTAGCGATTTCGCTATCTATATTCGAGACAAGCTTTTCGACAGCAAAACATCTGTCGACCATAAAATCTTACATAGTGTAAACAAGAAAGGTGAATTTGTTCTAAAGTTCTGTTTCTGGGAATATGACAAGAACCATAAAACATTAAGCAGAGAAGTCTTAAAATTTGTCAATGACAGACTTGTTGACAGAGATGACGCCGATTGGAAAGATGAAGTCCAACAAAAGTTCTTAGAATGCAAAGAAGACACATGCGCTGTTCTTGAAGATGAAATAGAAAACAGAATAGAAGAGCTATTAAAGGACAAAGAACTTTTACAAAATATAGTTGCGCCAAATTTGACATAACTCCACCAGAAAAGAAGAAGAAAGAAAAGAAAGAAAAGAAAGTAGAAGAAGAGAAGAAAGAACCTGAACCAGTTCCAGAGAAAAAGAAATTTGACATGTAAAAATAAAATTTTATTTTTAGAACATTTCTGGGTCAATGTCAATGTTCTCTTCCTCTTTAGGAGTAAAACACTGGCTTAGACTCTAAAATCTTTTTTACCCAATTTACCTTGAACTTCAAACTATCTTAGACTCATAATATTCATAGTCGTCTGCTTTCTTTGGTTCATAAGGGTATAACAAGTTTGTATGCTTTGCCTTCTTTAAGGTTTGAGAACCTTCTGTCAAAACTTTCTTGACTGCTAACAAACCTTCTATGTCTAAGTCTTCAAATTTCGCACCATTTTTAGTCACAATAGCAAACTTAACTGGTTCGATGTTTCCAAACTTTGCTGAATGAAGACTTTTCAAAATGGTAGAAGTAAACATTCAAATATGTGAATGGTCTAGTTCTTCTTTAAGTCCTGACATGTACTTGTTTACTGAGATGAATTTTGCCATCTTTTTCTATCGGATAAAAAAATTATTTTTTTTAAAATTTACTCATAAAAAATTTTCTTTGTATATACACCATTCTGTACGTCTAAAAGACTTTTGACATTTGCCAAGAATGTTTCGTTTAGACGCTGTCATATAACCATATTCTTGACAATATTGTTTTATACGAAATCGTACAATGACCTTTCATCTAAACACTCAAAGTCAGTTTCATCTATGAACAGTTCATATACACTCTTGTTTTGCTTCTAACAATGTTTGTTCTCTTCGGTATGTGGAATTTGTCTTGGATTGAACTTTGAAATATCTAATGTCATAAAATATGAGAACAAGTGGTTGTAAAAGTCAGATGTCAAAGTTTCTGCTAAGTCGTCAAAATATTCTGTATCTTGCATATGAGCTTCTGACGTTCTGACAACTACATATCTTCTGTCAGAACTTTCTAACTTCATCGGAACAGCATTGTTTGAAACCATAATGAAGTTTGCAACATTTTCACAAACTCTTTGGTCTTTATATTTTCTTTCAACAACTCCAACTTTGTCTGTTATAAGACTCTTCAAAGCATCTGAGTTCAAAACTTTTGTTGTATCTATACTTTGAAGTTCGTTACATACTATAAGTTTCATATTCTCTATTGAGGAGTTAAACTTGCCACAGATGTTTTCTAAGTTTGTCATATTCGGGTTCGAATAGCCTTCTAACAGTTTGCATAAGATATCTGTAAAGAAAGTATTCTTACCCAGTTCCTTGTTTTCCAATTATAATGAGAGCAGTTTCATTTTTTAGCACTTGGATGTTGTAAGATGTTTGCAAACCAACATAAGATATACTCATAGACTCTTTCGTTTCCATTGCATATAATTTCTTTGACATGGTCTAACCAAGCTTCTATAATATTTTCTTTCCATTCTACTTGTTCGTATTTATATCCAGTGAAGATAGAATAGAAGTTTTGGAGAAGGTGTATAAA